AAATCCTAAAGCATTGAACCTCTCTTTTGTGATAAAAGATGACTAGGTGTAGAGGCCTCCCGGGTGGCACAGCCAATTGAGCGCATTGCTGTGAAGCTGTCCCACAGCCTCTGCAGTGTGGGTTCAACTCCCCGCTGGCAAGGGAGATACCCACATGGCGGGGCAGATCTCTCCTGTCTCACCCGCTGCTCCCCTCAGCAGCGTTTTCGGTTGTCTGCCTGTTCTGCTCCCTGCTCTCTCCCTGGTGAATTCTCTCACCCTCCCATGCCTGTGGCCTATACCCCAGTTTTTGTATAAATAAATAAATCTTTAAAAAAAAAACATGACTAGGTGTAGGTAATGGAAGATTATCTAGCTGAAACTATAAAATTATTGGTATTATGAAAAATCACAAAAAATATGCAATTAGTCATGTACTATTTTGTTATAGCATTTCTAGTTTTATCTTTAACTACTATTTAAGCAATTGATCATTATTTACCTGAAATAATCTCCAAATAGATTATAACTCTTAGAAATAAGATTGGTGCTTTCCAGGTACTGAATGGCTTGATTTTTCTTTCAAGTATATCAACTTGAAATGTTGAACAATTTAGTATGAATACTTTCACCTCATTGGGAATCAGTTTACTTATTTGCAAGATCAGAGAATTGGGTCATATGCCTTCTATGACCCTTCCCAATTCTAAGCATGCCATGATTTCATGTCCCGTGAAGCAAAACAAGCCAAATTGCATTTGGTTCAAACATCATTCAGTTGTGCTTCCCACTGAGAGTTACAGAATATTCAGTGAGTAATTCCTGCAGTAAGAGCACATGCTTGAGGATATGCTGTAACATACTGTCCACAGTTGCAATGAATTGTAATGACCAGAATGATAGTTATCTCTGAAAAGCTATCTGGGAAACTTACCAGTAGACAGCAATGAAACTGGTCAAAAACTGAAGATAATATTCCTGTTTGAAAAACCAATTATGCTGCAGCCAAGGCAGAAGATCCAATTCTGACTGCCCTCCTCACATGAACTCATAACTCCTTTATTCAGAATATTTATAATATTGTCCTCCTTTAAGAAGAGAACAGTGTCTCACTTTTTTAAAAGATGTATTTATTTATGCATACAAGGACTGCGGTACAGGCCAGATGTGTGGGGGGTGAGAGGATTCACCAAAGACAGAGTGGGGAACAGAACAGGCAGGCTGATTGAAATACACTGCTTAGGGGAGCAGCAGGCAAGACAGGAGAGGTCTGCTGTGCCATGTGGGTAGCTCCCTGGCTGGCGGGGGATCAAACTCTTGCTGCAGAGGCTACAGGTAGCTTCATAGTGCTGTGCTTAACCCCTGGAGCCACCAGGGAGGCCCCAGTGTCTCATTTTATTGTCAAATAACACTTCAGATTGTGGATACATGCTAAACACTATTCTCAGATGTTTGTATTACTGTATATTACTATGAATCCTTACTACTCTCCATAGGTACATAGATAGGTATTTTTAAAATTATCTTTGTAAATTCAGAACTACATATGCTTCAGGGTCAGGGTATTCACCAGTGTAATGTCATGTAGTATCAAGGAAGAAAGCTCAAGGTCATGGACAGATTACAGTAGGAATGAATGCAACTCTCTCCTGGCACTTGACATCTCTACAATTGTCAAAGTAACCTGATCTATTGTTTTCCCATCAGTAGAACTACACTTTTTAAAACCTTGGTGTCACAATCTACTGCAGGCTATTATAATGCAGCTTCCTTAGCTCCCCCTTGGCCCACTAAATCAAACTAGCTTGGAATGGGGCCATTGTAATAAGCTTATCAGGTGATTCTGATACTAAAATTTGAGAACCCTTGACATAAACAGAGTGACTTGTAAAAATTACAGGTCTGACCTTGTCACTCTTCTATCTTAACTCCTAATTAGTGCCACGAAACCACAGAAGCAAGTTAAAAAATTTCAACCTGTCAGATACAGCTCTCATGATCTCACCTCTCCCTTGATCTCTGGTGTTTTCTCTTTTCATACTCACTAAGTGCATAAAATCCTAACTACAAGGAACTGTTCCTAGAGTCTCCAAATAGAGCATACTGCTTCTTGCTACTTTGTCTGTGTTCACTGGGTCCCCTCTATCTGAAATGCTCTGCCTTTCTTTCATTCAAAGTTCCTTTTATCTAGAATGTTCTTTCTTTCCCTTTCCTTTCATTGCATCCCTCTGATCTGAGTTAGCACAGCTCTTCCTCGGTGTAGAACTCTGTCATTCTTCTTATATTCACTTATAAATGCCATGTTGTCTTCATAGCTGCGAGGTCATGAAGAGTCTTGAGGACACAGGATAAATACATCAGTGACTTTAGTTGTAAGCAACAGAACTCAATTCTAAATGAATTAATCAAAAAAAAAAAGGAAGATTGGTAAAATGATGCAATTAGGAGATTAAAAAAGAGTGTATCAACTAAGCCAAGAAATGCAAGCACCAAGGAAGCTGTAGGTCACAGCACTCCTACTCATACCAGGGGCAGGTAATAGGGATTAAAAGGAGACGCTAGGTTCAGCAGTTCCACCAACGTCCTGTAGAATGATAAAAGGGAAATTCCTCCAAAGGAAGAGTATATGGTGCTCTTATAGAAGATGAAGAGATGCTTGTCAGATAAAAACAGCTGTTCACACCCTTGAGTCTTGTTTCTGATTATCTAGCAAGGAACTTGACACCAATTAGGCTTTCAATGAACATTTGCAGAATGAATGAGGTTAAAGAGACAATTAACAGAACTGTTGAGCTAACTCAACTGTCTACCTCTGGACTACTTTTCCATATTAGGTAACACATATCCTAATTAAATATCATGATTTATTAAAGCATTTCAGTTGAATTTCTACTCCCTGACACCAAAGGTATCCTAACTCATTATAATTGTTGAAGGAACAGGCCTTTATAGATTATGTTAAAGATTTGGAATTTAATCCTGAGGGTTATGGAAAGCCATCGAAGTGTTTTAAGCACAGAGTGACATAAGATAGTTATCTTTCAAAAGGTCACTTTAGTTGCAATAAGGAAAATAGGTTGGACAGTGGTAATGGTGGATGCAGGTGGAGCAGATACAATCTACTGCAACAGGTAACACACACACAAAAAAAAAATGCAGTGATTTAAAATAAGTAGTAGCTGGCCGAAGGGATAGAGAAAAATGAAACAATTCAAGAAATTCTGAGAGATATATTGAAGGCAGATTGTAATTATTATTGTGATTAATTCAATGTGAAAGTGGAAAAGGAAGAAATCAAGGATGGTGCCCACATATCTGGACTGAACCACTATGCAGATTGCAGTGTCATTTAATAAGAGAGGGATCACCAACTAGAAATGGGCAGATGGATGGCAACTATAATAATTTCATTACTGGACCTATTGAGAAGAATGTGCTTGAAGCAAACAGGTGGTTGTAAACAGTCAGTAAAGTAAGTAAACAGTCAATCACTTGAATAGCTTAGAATAGAGATAAAGACTTGAAAGTCTTTGGTACCTAGAGTGTAAGAGAACCTATGGATTTTTTGAGATACTTAGGGAGAGAGTGAGGAATAAGAAGGAAACATATCACAATAATTAAGAAATAGAGACATGAAATGCAACAAATTGGGTCAAGAAATTAACCTTAAAGAGGATATAAGACAGGCATTGAGAGTCATATAAGATCAACAGAGGGTTTTTATTTTTCTTCTAAAGATAAGAATGGTTATTTTTCCTTCACTCTCACATCAAATTCAATAGCAGACTCTTTTAGGACTTTCTCCTAAATATCTCCCAAATCTAATCCATCCATCTCTTACATTCTAGCCAGATAACTGCAGTTCTTGTCAATATCATTCTCACTTGGACTAATTCAGTAAACTCCTAATTGGTTTTTCTGCATGCATACTTTATATGTTTTTGTTTTTTCAAAACCACACACCAGTCTGAATAAATCAAACCATGGCACCTGGAATAAAAACCAGACTCTTGGCCTGTAAGCTATGATATGATCAAACTGTCTTCTGCCTCATCTCACTCCCCTGCACCCCAATTGCAACAGCTCACCACAGCATCTTTCTGTTCTTTGTTCCTGCCTCATTCACTGTTCCCAAAAGTTAGTGAGCTTTTCCCTAAATCTTTGCATAGTAGATTCATTTCCATTATTCATGATTCTGCTCAAATGTAACCTCATCCAAAAAGTGTTCTTTGTCCTTCTCCTCTGACTCTGTTCTCACTGTGTTATCTTCTTGATGGTTCTTATCCCAAATAATTTTGTTTCTTTATTTCTTGATTACTTATATTTTCTCATTAAAAGTAAAGTCTGGGGGAAATTGAGTAAAATTTATGGTATTATGCATTTTCTGTATTGTTGCATGTGTGTATTATGTATCATTTCTGAATAAGCTGTAATTATCTCAAAGTAGATGTAGGTGTGTTTTCAGTAAGTTCTGTGATTTGTCAGCTTGTTGGGAACTGTGTCCATATCACGAGACCAAGTCTGGTATGCAACAGACACTAAAGAAATCTTATTAAATGCATAAATTAATAAGCAATATATTAGGTTAAAAGAGGATAGGGGAGGGAATACAAGCAACAGCAGGAAATCCTGAGGCAAGGGAACTGGGAACCATGGGTCCTAGAATCCCTGTCCTAGAGCTTAAATTTGAATCCAGGTCTCTAGAACTCCTACTGTCCCACTTCACCTCTGCATTAATGGAGTACCGATTATTTAAACGAAGTAGCAATGGACAATCTTAGGAAACGCTCATAACTCATCTTTGTAGCTGTTATGATTACAACAGTGCAGAACTGATCGGACCATGACTTTAGAAGTGGGTGTTCTCTGATTCCGGGAAAGCATGACCAGATTCACACTTTCCTTAACTTGAGACAGTTGGGAAGAGGAGTGTGTGCGAATGCCAGGAAGGTTCATTGGCCGCTCAGGTCCTCTCCTCTGCAGTTGAGGTATCGGGTTTCAATCCTACCATGACCACGAGACCTTGCAGCGTGCACAGTGCGACTGCCGCCTCCTCAGTCCCTCAACCAAGGCAGCACTAGCGCAAGATAATTGCTGAAACTGGGCGGTGCACTTGCCTGCCCTAGGCAGAGGTTGGGCGCCGAAGCGGAGGCCGCTTGCAGGCTGCGCTAGCTGGGCGCGCTGGGAGGTGGCGATCACAGCTGGGCCGGGACTTCCTTCCTCCACCGCAGGACAACAAAACAACCGGCAGCAGGCTCTGAGCTCTTGGCAGCTGTCTGGGCGAGAGGCGCGGCGATGGGCTCTGTGCTGAGCAGCGAAAGCGGCAAATCCGCTCCCGCCTCAGCCACCCCGCGGGCCCTGGAACGCAGGGGGGATCCAGAGCTGCCCGTCACGTCCTTCGACTGCTCAGTGTGTCTCGAGGTGTTACACCAGCCTGTCCGGACCCGCTGTGGCCACGTGTAAGTGCCAGGGGAGCTCTGTTTGCGCGCCCACCCACTGAAGCGTGCAATGTTGGGGAAGCCGGAGGCATGGGGGGAGGGGGTGTCCAGAAACCAGAGCACAAGGAAACTGAAGCACAGGGGCATCTGGACCCATCGAGTGTGGGCCACGGGAAAAAATGCCCAGTCGGGAGGTGACGCTGCATTTCAGGAGGTGAAAATAGCAACAAGCGGGCCCTCTCCCTGTCCCCCAGCTGTCTCCTCCTGAACCCCAGGAGCTGACCGAGCCCGGGAATGGGGATCCCAGCGGCTAGACCCTGCGAAGAGCCAGGGCTTGTCAGCTGGGAGGCTGCCCTTGGCTGGAGAACCAGCACCTACCTGGGCGCACGTTTGTGGGCTCTCGTAGAGCAGTCACCCCCTGAACCCGGTTGATCGCTGGGGTGCTTTCCACTCCCCTCCCCCAAACGGGGTTCGGTTTTGTTTTGCTGACTGTGCACGTGCTCCAGAACGCCCACTAAAGCTCGTCTCTTGAGCAAACAAGGAGCTGCGCGCAGGCTGTCCTTTCTTTCCCCGCGCCCTCCTCCCTTTCTCTACACAAACATCCAGACCCCTCAAAGATCGTCCAAGTGACTTTCTATAGTCGGTTAACAACCTGTCAGGTTGAGGTCTGGAACTTGAACCTTAGCAACAAGCCCGTGAATATAGCTGTTTCAAACCGAGCTACAAAGTGACAGGAGGTTGCTAGCTGTTTCTTTTCTGTAGCTCCTTCTCCAAACCGATAGAAAAACATAGATTAAGAAGATCTCTACCTATTTAACTAAAATGCTGTTAACTCAAAGTCATGGTAATTTGTAAGAAGTTTGAAAACAAAATCCCTACATAATAATTGGCACGTCCTTAATATATGCTTAATTAGCTAGTAATGGAGTTGGATCTGTGAATTTGTGTTTTCTGTTTACGCAGAAGTTTTCTTTTTATGGACACTTGAGTGTGAGTAGGAAGGCGGGTTGTGTGGCGCGAGGGCGGAAGGCCACTTAAAGTCCTCTTTGGACTGCCGGCTGACTGTGGTCAATGAAGCTCCAAGCAATACCGCAATGGCTACTAAGTGCTTTCCACTTAACCGGGCAAAAAAGAAGTACCATATTATAAATTCAAGAGCACAAAATGTTTTTCAAAGTGGTCCTTGACACCTATAGTCTAGTGCCTGAGTACCAGTGTTTACCACCAAAAAGCCCAACAGAGAAGCAAGGAGAAAAATCTGAAGCTCACACAATGTTTAAGGGTGCCCCCGGCATTATTTTGTGGCTGTATTTTCACAACCTCTTTCAGCTTTGTACTTTAAACTAAAGGGTAACTTACCTCCTGTTTGTTTACTGATGTTGTTTTTGTTTCCCAGCTATTCACATGCAGCTCATTGACATAATACCCCAAGGCAATATGGGCGCCAAGATGATGTTGTGTAACAGGATATATTGATTAGTTCAGGACAATAATAAATACCTTTACCTACATTTACATTTATTCAGGATGATTGCATTTTAATCTGTATTAGCATTAAAACTTAAAAGTTGAGCCAAAGATACCTTTTGTAGAATTGAAATGGGCAGCTTTCCAGTTGGAAATTGTTTTCCCTGGTTTAGGTTTTGAATGCTCTAAGTTATTATTTGCTGTGTTTTTGCTTTCTTGCTAAAGGATAATATAAATTTGCAAAATGTTGTCTTTTGTTTAATCTTTTTCTTTGTTATAGTGAATAGGAAACCAGCAACTGGAAAAAATAGTCATGAAGTAATAGAACAAGGGCTGGACAAATTGCCTTCCTTCACTTTACTGTTCTTTGTTTTGACAAATCTGTGTCCATTGTTCTGGCCATGGGCAGAATTTCCATATTCCTCCTTTTGGCAAATTTACTTGGGTCTTTTCCACTTTATAAATGTTAACTAGAGTCCCTTCTGCACTGGAGATGGTGAGCGCTGTTAACACCATTTGTACTTCCTAAATGAATTACTCTTTTCCATTGAACTTAAATTGGAAAATAGAGAAATAGAAATAAAACTTCTCTATTTTATCCCATATTGAAGCTAATTTCTAAACTCTTTTGAACTAGGTTTTATGCTAATTTGGTTACACTTATTTCAAGTCAAATGCCTATTATAATGACAACAATACTTTAAATGAATATGTCTATACCACCTTTTAAATTGTGTTGCCATGTAGTAAAAACAGTGGACTTGACATAACAAGAGTTAAGATTTAATTCTGCCACTAGTAGCAATGTGACCACTACTTTGATTAATATCTTTGAATCCCAGTCTCTTCATTTGTAAAATAGGGTGAATATTGGAACTTTCATGAATTTTTAAAAAATAAAGGTTTCCCGTAATAAAGTCTCAAATATAGTTTCTATCTCCTTCAAAGTAATTCTGCAAAGCAAAAACCCATGAACAATATGTATTTATTTCTCCATTTATATTTGGAATGTAGATCTATGACATTTCCAATATGTCCCAGATAACTTTACTTTTAGTTTTGTTCTTTTTCCTCTGGTGGGCTTTAAGAAGTTCCATTTTAAAGGTTTTATCAACTTGGATTGACTTTATTAGTATCACTTTATCAGTTGTATAGATTTGGGGTAAATGCCTTCTACATCTGACTTTCTCTTAGAAAGCTGGGAGACAGTGGCGCAGCGGTTGAGCGCTGGGCTGCAAAGCTGCCCGCAGCCTCTGCAGCTCTGGTTCAATCCCCGGCAGCCAGTGAGGGTCCCACATGGCACACAGACCTCTCCTGCCACACCTGCTGCTCCCCTCAGCAGTGTATTTCGTCAGTCTGCTTGTTCTTCTCCCCACTCTGACTCTGGTGAATTTTCTCACCCTCCCGCGCTTCTGACTATACCCGGTGCTTGTATAAATAAATAAATCTTTAAATAAAATAAAATAAAACATATACCTTGTTCCTACACATGAATAGTCTTATTTAATATTTCTTAGATGAGGCTCCAAAATTTATATTCAAAAAACACACAGTTTGTATTCATTTTCTAGGCCTGTGGTAATAAACTAGCACACACTGGGGGGCTTACAGTAACACAAATGTATTATGCCTCATAGTTCTGGACACTGATTTCTATATGGGCAGGGCTGTGCTCCTTCCAAGGGCACCAGGGATGGATTAAAAAAAAAAAAAAAAAAAAGAAAGCTGGGAGAAAGGAATACATCAGATGAAATTCTTTAAGTAAAACTGTAAAAGAATCTGATTTACATGAAAAAGAAATATCCAAAGACATTTGTTGACTGATTGGATATGGTAGATACAGGGAATGGGGAAAAAATTCAAAGACAACCTCCAAAATGGTGCAGAGATAGAGGGGTAGTTTAGTTCAGGAGAAAGTTAATGTAGTCATGACTGGACTTGTTGAATGTACTGTAGTTTGCTAGGAAGAGATACAAAGGGAACTTTATCAGCTGCTGTGGGAAGAGTGGCATTGGGGAAAGATCAGAGCTGGAGCTTAATGGGGTTATCTAAAAAAGGTCAAGAGATTGGGAATATAGCTAAGCACTAACTAACTAACCTAAGTAATAACTGGAGCATATTATAAGGTACAAAGAGCCACATTTCCTTTGAACTGAGTTGGATTTAATGCTCTAAGTCACAGAATTTGCCTAATTTTGAAAATGAAACTGTTGAGGATTTTCTTAAGCGCTTTCAGATAAATGCATTAAAACATTTCTCCTGTGGTTGCATATGAACAATACAGCCTGTGCCAAATAAGTGATTCTCCAAGTGGTCTGAGAGTTTCCTGGTAAGCATTAACCCAGAAATATGCATGCTTTCATTTTTGAATGCCATATGCAATCCCAAAGGCTTTAATTTTAATCTTATCTCTTATTATTATTTATTATAAATAAGATTCTCTACTTATGTAACATCTATTATTGAGGGTTTTCCAGAGGATATCTATATCTATACCTTTTTTTTCTGAAATAAAATCTCATAGTTAGACAAAGAGTTTATTAGATAATCAAAATGAGAATTTGAACCTTGTTACCAGTCCCATGGATTTTACTCTATGAGAACTATTTCAACAACCACAATTTATACATCATTTTGAGTTCAACATGGAGCCATTGTGATTTTGGATCACAACAAATAGAGCTTGAAGGGTGCTAAGGGTTAGGTCCTATGCTCAAGCATATTGGATAACCACAGACCGCTCATAGCCAAGAACAACTGAAACCACACTGGTAAGCCACCTCAGGATTGAAATTTGACCAATGCCTGCTTAACAAACTTCAACCAGCCAGTACTGCATTGATTTTTAAAAAACTCTTTCGCATAAAACAGACTTAGCTCTGCCCCTTTTGTCTTTATAAAGACTCTCCCCTCACAGTATCTTGGGCATTTCAGTTCAAGTGCCACTTGAGTCTGAATCCCTAGTATTGCAGTCTGAAAACTTGAATAAACAGTTTGTTGTAAAACTCAAGCTGTAACCCAATTGTAACTTGACCAATTTAGTATTCTCGAAGAAAAGTTTAATCACCTTCATGATTTCTAAAAAATTCACAATGAAGATATAAAGGCTAGGTGCTCATTGTTTTAATCATCTATGTCTGGCTTCTTGGTCATTAATGGGGGTTGTAAGGTTAGTTTCTGCATGCAGCAGATGCCTGGATGGCTTTAAATTTATACAGATTCTTTCTTGCCTTCTAGTCTAGGGAGGGGATAGGTCCCAGAACATTTATAATAAAAGGGTGCAATATCTACATCTGTCTGTATGGGGGTGAGGAGACAGTGTCAGAGAGAGTCAGAGAGAGAGAGAGAGAGAGACTGGTTTTAAGGAATTGGTTTACATAGTTGAGGATGATCCCTGTACATAAAGACAGCTGATTTTAAGTTGTTAACCACAGCTACAAAGTACCTGTACCTTCCCAGCAACACTTAAATAAGTGTTTGATTAAACAGAGTACTATAACCTAGCCAAGTTAACACATAAAACTAATCATCACATCTATTGAAAAAGTTTTAAG